TTTCAATCTGTACATATCTGGCTTCATTAAGCTGTCTTCTAATTATTTCACTTTTATTTTAGCATTGTGAAATGAGCATAACTGGTACACTGTGAAATAGAATTTCCTCTTATATACCACTGCCAATAAATCTTAATAAAAAGTCAAAGGCTACATCTGTGACCACCAGAGGTGTTGGAGCTCCACCCTCCTGTCAGCATATATTCTTATGTAAGAATCTGCAGAAATATTTTTAATACTGAAAATACATCACATATTGAATATGAAACTTTTTGCATAAATTTAATCTGGATTTGCTTTTGGTTTATTGGGTATGTGTGAAATGCTAATTTATCCGTAGCAAATTCTATCATATACAGATTAACTCACATGAACCATACGTTATCATACAAGCAAAAATGAACAAAATGCATTAGGCTAAAATTTTTTAATATTAATACGAAGACTATATTTAGCTATATAATTCGTACAAATTATCTTCACATACTATTTATTTATGAAGAGGCAACTACATGTTTAAAATCTATATTCATGGCTGATTAAAAACCAGTCCAGATTTTATTCTATCACCACAACTGAGCTAAAGAGCTCCATGTGCAGATACAGGTGTCAGTATGTATACTATTTACTAAAATAATACTATCCATATGAGTATTAGAATGCATGCTAAAACGTTCATTGAAACATGGAGGTCAACCAACACTCCTTTAGCAGTACTGTTTTTGATTGGCTACATATAATTTATATTAAAAGATAAATAAATCAATAAAAGTATTGTCCAGAAGCTAACAAAAGTAACTATAGAGAAATTGGGTTGTGTGGACATCCTTTTGCAAAATTGAACAACTGTTGCTTATTTAGCACTCTAAATCTGTAAAATCAAACTTCAAATACCATCAAAGCAACTTTTTTACATTTATCTCAATTAAAAAAAAAATTTCTGTATATCATTTTGAAATAACTGATTCAGAATATTTAGAGGATAACAATTAATTGGGAATAAATAAGCAAAAGTCAGAACTATCAATTCGGTATTATATAATTCATCTATGCTTTGGACAATGCTCAAGATTACACATAGCTTCATTTTTTTTAATATTTGCAAGTTACCACGATTGAATATGTTCATCTCAAATCTAAATCATCACTATTTTTACAATGTGTTGAGCAAGGAAATAAATACTTCATTCCAACCCTGTCAATTAAATCATTTATATGATGAAATTATCATTGTCATTTGAACATTCAGACCAAGCTAATACAACAGTCCAAACAAACTGAAAAACAGATCTAAATTTTAGACAAAAATATCAGGCCAAATTCAAGTTTTTTTTTAAACTTTCCTGAATAAATTATTGATTCTGGGCTATGATGAAAGTCTAAAATTTATTAATTTCTTACATGGGGTGTAATTTATCTTTTTGTCTTATTATAAGTTAATAAATGTATCTTACATTTACTCTTTCATTTGGTTGGTTTCTCTTAAAATTCCTGTCAACCATCCTTTGGTAGGCTTTCTTTTAAACAGGTTTAGGGAACAAATTGAATTTGTAATATTTTTACAACTTAAGTCTTTATTTATTAAGAATCTTATTCATGCCTGAATTCCAAGATGGACAACCAACCAAACACCCAACAAATAAATAAATAAATACCTATCTAACCACATACATACATTATACCAAAAGCTTTAAAGATTTAAGTAGGAATTTAAAATACCAGAAAATCAAAAACATACTATTAGCTAAAGACTTTTAATGATGTTAGATTAAAATCTTATTGAAGCACTTTAAAGTTACATTTTTATAAATTCGCTACTCTAACACTTCTTCAATGAATTAAATGTCTGCATTTGTATATGTTAATCATTGATCTAGCTTCATAAAACCTCCTTCATTTGACCTGCTATGATTAACTAGCTGTACTTTTTGTCTTAGTTGCAGCATGAATATTTATGTTTGACATAAACACAAGGATATTATCCAATTTTAATGTGTTACAGGAAAAATAATTTCCAGGAGCTAATCATTACTGCCTGAATGCTACTTCTGAAATCTAATATTTAGTTCATTTATGTTAAAATTCTCAGTCAAGCAGTAAGCAAACGAAATGCAACATTACTTTAGTTGTATTGTTCACAATTCACAAAATTTGCTAAACTATTTAGAAATTATTATAAATCCAAAAAGCAAAAAGTCTATGATATTCAAAAGAAGGAAGTGATTTTGTTTCAAATGGTACATTAGAACATTAATAATTATGTAATTGGTATCAGAATTGTTTTTAAGTTTTACACAAACTCTATAGGCAAGAAACCCCAACATATTCTAAAAATAATCTGGTTCCTGCAACATTCTTGTTTGATTGGATGAATGTGAGGAATAGACAGAACTGAATTAAAAGCATCCTCGGATTCTTTATGAACAAGTTCCGAGTTAACAATCGCTCACTTACATATTTTTTTAAAACAAACAAACTATATCACCATATACTTTTGAAATCTAGCATTTTATTCCTAGTAAATTATTCCTACATACTCAAACAAAAGACATTCTTCTAACAACAGCTAAAGGTGTTTTATTAATCGACCAAATTCATAGGTCATTTTCCTTTAAATCATGAGAAAGGTGCGACACCCAGTGCATAAAAAATTAAAATCCAACCCAATGGATAATACATGCAAAATGTCTCCTACGATCCCACCCGTTCTTCTCCTTTAGAAAATAACCCTGCGACGACAGCACACCAACACTGGGAGAGAAACCTAGCCAATTAATATGGCAACAGTTACGCAGCCTAGTGAGAAAATGATCGCCCTCCTCCTCCTTTTCCAACACTTGCCCCCGCCCCCAGACACCCAGATCTGGAATTTATTTCATTTTTCCGGCGATCATGTAAATTTTCCATTAGAGAACGAAGGAAAGCAGGAATCCCTTTCATGATTACATTTCCAATTCTTTCAAACAATGGTGCTTGTCTAATTGGTTTCAATCTTAATATTTTTATGCTAGGCCCCGACCGACAAGCAGGGAACTGAAACCTTCACACGCGCGGAAAAACGACGAAGGCTTCTCTACCGCCACCCGCAGCAGCCCGACACCAGGAACAAATATTTGTGGGTTTTTTATTTAGGCCAGTGTGTGAGAGTGGTGCGACAGACTGAAGGGGGCGAGAAGGGGAAAGAGAAGGAAGCAGATAAATGGCCGATGATCTACCCCGACAAAAACGCCGCCTATGTAGGGATGGGGGGTCTGCAATTCCTTTCTTTCATGCCACCCTCCGGATCCCTCCCTATCTCGGATCATTTTTTCCTTCGGGATCCGGGTAACCAAAGCCATGCAAACTGCGCAGCAAAAACACTGGGGCAGGGCGAGGGACGAGAGAGGGAGAGAGGAAGAGGAAGGGGAGGGGGTGAGAGAGCAGTTCTTGTCTCCATGAGACACCATTACAAAAAGAGAGAAAAACCGAGGGGGGGAAGGGGAGGGAGAGGGAGGGGAGAGCGGCCGTGGAGGAGGAGATGATGATGATTAAAGAGAATAAAAGGAAAGGTGTCAACACAAGTTACTGGGATACACACCGTGTCCCAGACACCAGGGGGAAGCTTTTTCCTCCCACGGCTAAAATAAACCACCGAGGAGAAGGTGGAAAAGGACCGGGGCCTTCTTCGTCCTCTCGCTCTCCCTTTTCCTCTCTCCTCGGGGAACCGAGAGGAGGCTCTGTGCTCTCTATTCAACAGCCCCCACCCACCCAAAAGTACCTGAGAGGGACCCGTAGTTTATTGGCAATCCCAAGCTCAAGGAGGGCCCGAGCCAAACAAAGCGCGGCCTATGTCCCTAACAGGTCCACGGAACGGGGAGAGCGTATCTAGGGCTTGCAGAAAGGGTGATGGGGGTGGGGGAGAAAAGGAACCCCACCCGCTTCGCCGTCTCTCCTCTGCCCGCGCCCCTTTGCCGCCCTTGTCCTTGCCGCCCCTCCCTCTCCCTCCTTCTTACCCCGTTCCCCAGCGGCGATAGCGGCTGCGGCGGCAGCTACGGCGTTGTTGTTGTTCCTCTCCGGCGGCGGTGGCGGTGGAGGTGGCGGCGGCAGTTGCAGTGGTTGCTGCTGCTGCTGCTGCTGAGGCGGCTGAACAGGAGGAGGCGGTGGCGGCGGTGGCGGCGGCTGCTGCACCGGGCGCGGCCTGGACACTCGCCTGGGTCTCCTGTTGGCGGCTCGGACCGAGTTCATTTGCCGGTTCGGGCGGGGGGAGGAGAGGGGGTCGCTCCTCCGGCAACGAGACTTGGGGAGGGGAGGTGGGGGGGGAGGAGGAGGAGGAGGAGGAGAGGGGGAAGGAAGGCTTCCTGGCTGAGGAGACCGGCCCAGAGGAGCTCGCTCAGAGAAAAGGAAGGCGCCTCCTCCTATGCCTCAGTTGCCGCCCGGATCTCTCCGCCGCCGCCGGCGGTTAACGAGGGGGATGCTCGTGCCGCTGGTGACCCCCTTCCCCCTACTCGGGAGCTCGCGCTTTTCCCTCCCACCCCTCCCCAGCCCCCCCAAGAAGGTCTCTCTCAAGGGAGTCACCCACAGCCGACCCGGCTTCGGTTTAAGCCCGTCGCCTCTCCGTGGCAGGAGGAGCCATGGACACTGCCAGAGAGAGAGAGGGAGAGAGAGAGACAGAGCGAGGGAGAGAGAGGGGGAGGAGGAAAAAAGGCCCTCCCTCTCCCCGTCCCCACTCTACACTCTCACAACGGGCAAGGCGACAAGCCGTGGCTCACCCAATCCGCGCGTCCCGCATGGAAAGGATGAGGCTGCTTGGCCAATGGTGGCGAGGCTTGCATGTTCAGGCCGAGGGGCGGCTGGTATTGAAGAGGTGGAGAAAAAAAGGAGCGGAGAGGGAGGGAGACGGAGGAAGACGAGAAAACTAGTGGGAGGAGAGACAGCGGGGTGGGGTGGCAAGAGGAGGCCGTAGAGAAAGGGGGCTGTATAAAAAGCTGAGAAGCGACAGGCCAACGAAGTGCGGGGAAGGCTTGGGAGCGGGGTTCAGGGCAGGAAAGTCTCTTAATTTGTTCAGAGCTGAATTCTAGGTTCAAGGAAAGGGGGAAAGTAATTGAGGTTCCGTCTTAGAACTGGGTCAAAGATACAAAGAGTTCAAAAATTGCCTTCCTGCCAGAAAAAAAAACAGAAGACTTCAGTTTTTCGAGAACGAATGGAAGTGAAGGAGCATGGGATACTAATGTAATTATTATAAAATGATTATCTCAGCTCCAAAGAAATGATTAATCAGTTCCTGAGTGGGGAGGAAGGTGGTGGAGCAGAAGAGAAAGGGTGATTTAGTTCTGAAACGGGATTTGGTTTGACAGCTTGGCTCATCTGGGACCCTTCGGTTTTCAGGGAGGCTGAAAATATATCAAGGAGCATAGAATAAAAGGGTAGGTATGAAATACTTTTTGGAAAATGGTCTCCATTGGGGGGGATTCTTGATGTTTTTTCCGGGTGGCTCTCTTCCCTTCTGTTTGCATACTACAGTATTCTGGAGTAGGTGAGCATAGCTTTTCTCAGATGAGGGGCCAATATATATTTTGTGGGTTCAGTCCCTTTTCCTAAAAGCTATTCTGTTTTAAAATAACAGTATTGGAAATATCTAGTGAGGTGCATCAGTCAGTTGAGTTTGTCCAGACAATTTAAAAATGTCCCCTTTTTTAAAGCTACACCACCTAGCATTTAAGTTGTTAACATATTTATCTGTTAGACCCTCCTTCATCTGCTGTGTTAAAGAGCCTACTCAGTTTTTGTGATCTTGGATTAGAAATTTACTTGCTGTTTATATTAATGTGTCTTTGGCAAATGCCCTTTTTATTTTCCTGATCATTTTTAATCTTTACAAATTGCTTTTATGACAATATTTAAATTCTTACTCCTTTATATCTATTTTCATGATAATGTACTTGTTTTAATGCATTTAATTATAACTTATCCCCCCCCACCTCTGCAAGGTCAAGATTACTCCATTTCATGAAAAACCACAAAGATTAGTATTAAGGCTAACACATTTGCAATAAATTTTCTTGGACTACAGAAACCACATGGGTGTACCTACAGATTTATATCAAAGGTTATTCCTCTGATTTTTTTTTCTATGACCTATTACTCTTAAGACAATTTAGAATGTGTAAAAATCCAATCCATTATATTTAGAACATATATACATTTATGTTATAATTAGAACAAAATATCACAAATTACTATAGTAGATCTTTCTTTAGGTAGCTATTTAATTTTATTCCCATCTCAAAATCATCTTCAGTATCTTGGTCATATATATGACATTTCTTACTAAATTATTTTGGTTTTTCACATCCGATTTGATGCTCTTAACCATAATAATTTCAACTACATCTTTCCAACAGTATGTGCGTCTATGGGAGGTAAACTCTCTCAGAGCCTTGGCAATGGTTATATTAAATGGATGTATGGTTTATATTCACCAACTGACTATGTTTCATGTTTTTCTAAACTGCTGCACCTACCCACTTACCACAGTGTGGAGGGCTCATAAATTCTCCAAATGCTATGAACTTATGCAACCACTCAGCCAAGGAGAATTGTCCATCATTTCATGAGGTATATCCTTTGAGCCACTAAATCCATGCATAATCTATAACTTAGATGAAACACTTTTTTCACTTGAAGAATACTATTAGTCCTTAAACTACACCCAGGCATTTAGTAATCTTTCAAAGTTATGATATTGCTGATAGTTAACTGGTAGTTATGACCAATCCTTGAAATTCTGGCCATTGCAACATCCTCTTGGTAATGTGATCAAAATTTAGATGCTCGGTAACAACCCGCATTTATGATCAGTTACAGCATCCCATGAGCACAACTGAGACTGCTGAAACTGTTAAGCAGTGCAGTCATGTGTTTTGCATGACCTATTCACTTGATGAAAATCCTGGTCCCAATTAGAATCATAATCCACGGACTTCCTATACTTTCAAGATACTATCTAGAACAGACATGCTATTTCTAACACATCATATCCTGGAACAATTAGCAACACAGTTCATACCAAATCCAACTATGTTTTTAAAAATACTGCACAGATATTCCCAAATGGATATTGTACTATTAAATTTCTACATTGAAAGCTATCACTAATAAGCCAAAGCCACAAATGTGTATTCTCCTGATACAACAATATTAATAGAGCAGAATGCCATTCAGGATCCCAAGAACAACAGCTGATGATGGAGGGCAGTTGTCATGAGTACAATTGATTATGTTAAGGAAGTCAAGTAACTCTCCAACCAACTACTATGTACAAACAAGAACTACCATCCCACTCTTTATGGCAATGGTTGGTTGGCAACTGCTAGAGATGGAATGTTAGGCAAAGGAGATGATATTCTCTGCCAGTTATGCAGTTTAGTTACTGTTCTGTTCCTGTTTAGTGATAATAGATTTCCCATAGCCTGGCTGATTGTGAGGATGGACAATAAGCATTGAAAAGTACATTGAGCTTGACAAATATACAATGATTCTTTAAAAACACTGTAGTATTAAACTACAGGAAATAAATACTTTATTATTTAATAAATAATAAGAAAATGCATGATAGTTATTCAATAAAATAAAAAATTAGCACATGTAAACCTAAACCATAATGATGACCCTTCTGAACGAAATAGTTAAAAATGTTATTAAAGCACAAGTACAATGCAGTTCCATGACTAGAATCAAAGAAATTTGGGACTGAGCAAAGCTTTGGTAAAAAAAAGTAATTTAGAGATCAATCTTATATACTTAAGGAGAAAATGTATTGAATGTTAGTTTTCTCCAGGGTGGAAAACGTTGAAAATCCACTTCATTTTCGGATCTGAGCTTTCCCTGAGGAGTTATCCCAAGGCATATCTCAAAATGGTGGGTAGCTCTGAATTCAGCCAGAAAATGCAACTTTTGATGCAGAGCTCAGATTTCGAAAAGAACCTCATTTTCATGTTCCCCAGGGTGGAAAATGTTGAAAATCAACTTCATTTTCAGATTTGAGTTTTCCCTGAGGAGTTATCCCAAGGCATGTCTCAAAATGGTGGGTAGAACTCAACTCAGCCAGAAAACACAACTTTTGACCAAAGACACCAAGATGCCATATATCATTAAAAAGACAACCATAGACAATGGTCCTGTTGATTGGGTATGATAATGTTTGCAATTCAGTATGCCTGTTGAATGCTAGATTGGGGATCCTCCAGTAGTATCAGTTTGTCTAGCTGTTTGTCCATCCAATTTGTCAGCCCTGCCAGGTAAACCAGATGGGAAACAAACTAGAGGAGGTAATTTTACACTATTGCAAGGCTACATTAACAGAATTTTGCAATTCTGAAGGAACAGATTTCTTCCCCAATCTGATCAAAACAGATTGTAAAACTTTATTATTGCTTACAATACTGTATTTAGTATGCTGTTCTTTATTACTACTTATAGTAATACTTTCAAAAGATGAGAGGAAGTTTGTGGGCCTTCTAGTTGCCTTGAAGGTAGGACTTTTTTTCAAATGATACGTGTTAGTCATTGAAGTATACAAGATTTCCAGACAGAAATGGAATATAGGGTAGAGTATAGGTTGTTTGTCAGGAACCTCTGCTGAATAATGTCAATTTGAGTTCTAATATTCAAAAGTGCTGGAATGAATTGTGAGAAGTTAAACAACATATTTTTAAAAACTAAGGAAAATAATGTATACTTAACTATTCTGAACCTTTAAATGAAGTACAAAGTTGTTCAATATTTGTAACTAATTACAAGTAACTAGAAAACCTGTGAGCCATTGGCTCATACTTTCAAAGATAATTCCTTACCAGATTCTTCAAAGCGTACAACAGTGAAAGAGCTTCTAATGTGTTGCCTTCACTGTATCTACCTTGAAAATAACCCATGTTGAACTGTAAAGCATTGTCAAACATCAGTACAAGAAATGTTTTATGACATTTGGCATTAGGTCATAAACTGTTTTGTGATAATATTTTATATCCTAAACTGTTTTATAAAACTTGCCAAATTTTAATTCCATGGAAATTATAGGTCACAGGTTTTGGATTCCTTCTATAAGTTAACCCATTTGAAGTACCTTGGTTCAAAAATAGTTGTCCCATGATGCACCATTTCGTCCAGTTAAAGGATAAGGAAACAAGAGTTTTAGTAATATATAGATTAAACAAACTTCTTATAGTTTTTCCAGTGTCTTTAACAAATTCAGCAATCCAGTTTAGACCAATAGCTTCTGAAAAAAATGAAAAATATGAAAACTTATTATAAAGAAAATGCTTCCAAAAATTCCCTCAACTTACATTTTGTTCCTGAAGTCAATAACACAACATTTTCATATTTGGCCCGAAATGAAAACATATCCGAGTGAGAATAACAAATACTAGGGGAAAAAATGTCAAATAATGAAATAAATTATAAAATTATATTTACATTTATTTCAATTAAAACATTTAATATCTATGAATTTAGAAACAATATGTATTATTTATATTTCTGCTGGAATCCACTAATTCCTTTTGGTTTAGTCATAAAACATTTTAGAAATTGAGCACAATAAAAAATAATAATAAAAAGGTATTGTCTATTGATAACAACTATATGGCATCACTGTAGCACACAAACCAACTAAAGCCCTCCAAAATAACCTAAGTAAACCAAATTACCCAACAGTACCGGAAGAAAAAACAGGAGTCACCTACAACATATAGTATAGGGACTGCAATAGCCACTACGTAAAACAAACAGGCAGAAAACTAACAGAGTGCATCCATGGACAACTATCAGTGAGAAGACATGATGAAAATTCCTTAATTTCACAACATGTGGACATATTTAACTAGGTTTCAACTGGGAAACTGAGGATCCTAGACCAAGCCAAGTCCCAAAACGCTAAAGAATTCCTGGAAGCCTGGCACTCAGACAGATCGGCCATCAACAAGCATATCGAAATAAAGAACATCTACACAACATTCAGTAAAAAAAAAACAAAAAAGGAAATAAATGTTGACAGAAAATAATCTATCAAAGGAAATTGGATGCTTACTTCTAGAACAATTAAGAGATACCTAACATGAAATCAGTATATGATTTGATAAATAATTGCTAATTCTGCCTTTAAGTATTTAATTGTAATTAAAATGGTACCATCTAGCACATTGGTAGCTAACCTTTTCGGCACTTAATGCCAAAATGGGAGCGCATGTATGCATGCACCGCAAACCAAAAGAGCAACTCCCTTATGCGTTAGAGTGCCAGAAACTGGAAGCCTAGTTTCCTGGTGCATGCAAGCATGCCAGCCACCTGGTCTTCCAGTTTCTAACGTGTGCAAAGATCAGCTGGGTGGCACGCCCATGAGCTCTGGGGAGCTGCTCTTCCGGTTTCTGGTGCTCACGTGCGTGTGAAGACCAGCTGGCTGGTGTACACGTGTGCACTGGGGGAGCTGCTCTTCCGCTTTCCAGTGCTCCCACACATGTGAAGACCAGATGGCTCATGCGCGCAGCAGAACCCAAAAGAGCAACATGCAATGGCTGGTATGCTCAGAGAGATGGCTCTGCATGCTACTTCCAGCATGTGTGGCATAGGTTTGCCATCACGGATCGAGTGCCTCAACTAATGCATATTCTCAGGCTTCTCATTTGTCAAGTTGAAATAGGAGCAAAAGCAATATTGAAAGAAGAATTAGTTGGCATGTACAACTTATAATCCTGTCCTCACACATTCTGATTTCCTTATGCATCCTAGTCTTTATTTTGAACCATGTTTTCTTCAATTTTTGAGTCAAATCATGGTTAAATATTAGAACTATTTTGGGAATCAAGGGTGATATGAAGGTTTTGTCCACATGCAGCTATACATAAAACTGTTCTCATACTCTCTTCAGCCTTATACTGGTTGGGCTCTCGCACTATCTTAAACCATAATTTAACTGTGATTTAATAAAGCAAAACTTGCTAGGTTTGCACTACGTGCTAAGACACGTAGAATGGAAATTAGAGAATGAGAATGGAATCAGAATGGAAATTAGAGTTAGAATACTGTGTGTGATTAGACACACAAGGAATTTGTCTCTGGTGCGGAAGCTCTCAATGTACATAATAATCATAACAGCAGTAAGGGGGGAGTAAAGAAAGTAAGAAGGATAAATAATAATATTACAGTCATACCACATGGGAAAAAATATACATCAGACACAGTGGTGGGATTCAATTTTTTTTACTACCAGTTCTGTGGGTGTGGCTTGGTGGGCGTGGCAGGGGAAGAACACTGTAAAATCTCCAGTCAGAAGTGGTATTTGCCGGTTTTCTGAAGTACTCAAAATTTCTGCTACCGGTTCTCCAGAACTAGTCAAAACCTGCTGAATACCATTTCTGATCAGACAGCACTGTGAGAATTAGGTGCTCAGCAGATTGATTCCATGAAGGGGAAAAAACTCCCTTTCGCTAATTGTTTTGGCATACAATGCCCTATAGCGCCATCCTGAGGGAGGGAGATGAAATAGTTTATGTTCAGGATGTGAGTCTGTAGATATCTTTTCAGTTGAATTAATAGTTGAGCTCATAAAATATGGAAAGTCAGATTCATATTTTGCTTTAACATGATTATGAGGGCTACTGATTCTATACTTTCAAAACCCCAGATACAAAAAAAGTACCTGATAAGCACCTTCCTAAATCAGTCTCTGAATGAATCTTTTTTATTCCTTATTTCCTTTTTAGAATCAGATTGCAGAAAGTCTGCAGCTCCTGTGTGCCATTTTTGGATATGCAGAGAAAAAAATGCTCTTCTCTTATCCTCATCATTCTTTAATCCGTCAGGAAAGCGTGGGGAGCATGAGCAACCTTAAGATCATTCTGTACCTTTGATCTTAATTTCCAGATCCTGTAATTTCTTTAAAGTATACATACTTTTCTCTTTCTCACCACCAAACACACAGAGTTATTGGAGTGTCAAACAGGATTTTAATGAGTCCCATTAGAGAGTGGGTAAAGCAGCTGTTCAATTTAATTTCTGTAAATAATTCTACATGATCCATTGCTAAGATTTTAAAAACCACCACTAGAGCTCTTCTGTTTCCTCTCATATCAGTTAGAAAGCAACTTTGTAAAGCAAATAATTTTCCATTAAAAATCTTATACAGGTCTTCATTGTGAATCAAAGGCTAGGTGGCACTTTGCATCACCTTGACAGTCTCATTTTAATTATACTGACACAATATAAATTGATTCTGAGAACAATCCTTTATATGGATCTTTCTTTTCTTTCTCTTTCTTTCTTTCTTTCTTTCTTTCTTTCTTTCTTTCTTTCCTTCCTTCCTTCCTTCCTTCCTTCCTTCCTTCCTTCCTTCCTTCCTT